AGCCATGATGGCAGCAGGTTTCAGTGAGTAGGTGGGTCAGGCCAAACCAGGTTTAACCCCGAGTCGCCTCTTCGCACCTGAGCGCACACACTCCCTCTGGCTCTCAGGCCTCAGCATCCCCAGCAACAACATGGGGGTACCACTGTCAGAGCTGCCATAGACACAATAATGCCAGTGAAGCCCTGCATCCAGAGCCCAGCACTGGGCGCTCCATAAATGCTGTTTCCGCCAACACTTCGCTACCAAGCTGTGGTCTGCAACAGACAGCATGCATCCTGTGGGTAGGGGAGTCCAGTCACCTCTAGGACCCTCAAGAGCAGTCGCACTCCAGACCTGTCTAGGCCAAACAGCTGCAAACTCTATGACGCGCAAGGCCTCCACGCCAATGGCATCCGGTAGGCAAGCGGAGGGCGGGCAAGGAGAGCACTGGCGGACGTCGGCTTCCAATCGCCAATCACGGGCGCCCACCAATCACCAGCACCTGCCCGGCATCACACTCGCCAATCACAGGCATATCCGCTTCACGCGGCCTCCCCCCAACTTCTGGCTTGGCGGCCATGCCAAGCCTAGGCACTTTAGTGCGCCCCAGAGAGATAGAGAGGGGAGGAGAACGGTGGAGAGAAGAGGGGAGCGAAAGAGAGAGCAGCGGACCAAAGGTGGCGCGGCATCCGCTACTTACTGTAAGAGTAGCTGCTCACTTCCGAGGCGAACGGGGAATGGGCCGACTTGGGCTGGCCTCTGGCCTTGAACCCCACCTCCATCTTCCTGGCTTTGGCGGCCCTTTTGTGTTTACCTTCTCTGGAGGATTTCAGAGACAGGCCGAGGCCCTTGGCCATCGCCTTCCTGTCCTTCCCCAGCAGGCTGTCGTAAGGAGTCAAGTACCTGCCGCAGCCCCCGCCAGTTTTCGATTTCCCCCCAGCACTGTCCGAAAACTTGAAGGGCGACTTCAACTTGTCCTGCTTGGTGAGGGAGAGGGCCTTGTCGAGCTTGCTTGCCAGCTGCTCCTGGTCGCTGGCCATCTTCTTCTTCTTAATCTTTAGCTGGAGAGGGAAGATGGGTCATGGGTTAAAAGATTTGACAAAACAGCGTAGTGGGTTTCTGTGCACATGCTCTGCCCAGCCTGGGCTCCAATCCTTCCCCTGCCTCTGTGATTTAACTCCTCTTAGCTTCTATATCTATAAATATACATATTTATATATATATTTATATATATATACACACTTAGAGACGGAGTCTCACTCTGTTGCCCAGGCTGGGGCGCAGTGGCGCGATCTCGGCTCACTGCAACCTCCACCTCCCAGGTCCAAGCAATTCTCCTGCCTCAGGCTCCCGACTAGCTGGGAGTCGGAAGTCACTGCAGCCTCCACCTCTGGGCTCTGTGACCCTCCCGCTTCAGCTTCTCTGGTAGCTGGATGAATACAGGCGTGTGCCACCACTCCTAATTTTTTTTATTTTTATTTTTGTAGTGATGGGGTTTCACCATGTTGCACAGGCTGGTCTCAAACTTTAGGCTCAAGGCATTCTCCCACCTCAGCCTCCCTCCCAAAGTGTCGGGATTCCAAGCGTAAGCCACCACAGCTGGCCAGCTTCAATGTTTAACTCTGTAAAATGGGGATACTTGTGTCTGGCATTACAAAGTGCTTCTGAAGATGAACTCGGGTAAGGTATGCAGTGACCACAATGTCTGGTACAAGGTAACCACTTATTAAACAGCCAGTGCTGTGGTTACATTAATCCCTGACCCTGGCTTTCCGTGGCACTGCCTGCTGTCTCCTAAGGAAGCACTTGCAAGTGCTGCTGCCAATGGCCTGGAGAAGGCAGCTGGATTAAGAGAGGAGGAAAGGAATCAAGATCAAAACCCCAGATTGAAGCGCAGCTGATATGCCTCAGTCACCTACAGCAGCTGACAAAGACTAGTGCACAGTCCAAACCAGTTTGCCCAACTAAAGGGGCCAAACCTGCCAAAAAAAAAAATGCCTCAAGTGTTCCTTGGATGCCTGAAGCAGAAAGAACCATTAGCGATTTCACAGATTAAATTCCTGCCTGCACGTCTATTGTCAGCTGTAGTCATTTGTTGAAGTGAAACATGCAGTTTCAAAGTCATTGATGCCCCACGTTTGAACATTTTATCTCGATTTTCTTTAATCAGGTGACATTTCTTAAGAAAAAAGTTGGGATGGTGGCAATTAAAACAAAAGCATCCCTTACCACAATTTTAAAGTAAAAAATATCTGGTGTACACACTGGCGATCGTTCTCTTCCTAGACCCCGTCTCCCTCCTTGAGCCTGCCCCCAACAGCCCCACAAAGCAGGTGACAATATCTTAACTCTGAGTCCATAAACACTTCTTTCTTTTCTTAAGAAAACATGCTTTCTCAGCCAGGTCAACCAAAATACCCCTCAGCCGGGTGCAGTGGCTCACGTCTGGAATCCCAGCACTTTGGGAGGCTGAGGTAGGCAGATCACCTGAGGTCAGGGGTTCAAGGCCAGCCTGGCCAAGATGGTGAAACCCTGTCTCTACTAAAAATACAAAAATTAGCCAGGCATGGTGGTGGGCGCCTGTAATTCCAGCTACTCGGGAGGTCCTGAGGCAGGAGAATCGCTTGAACCTGGGAGGCAGACATTGCAGTGAGCTGAGACGGTGCCACTGTACTCCAACCTGGGCAACAGAGTGACTCCGTCTCAAAAAAACAAAACAAAACAAAAAACTACCCCTTTGCACTGGGCTTTATGGGGAGGGATGACAAGGTACATTAGTATTTACAGAAAGGCACCTTAAGTGGATGGTTTCAATGCTCTGAAGAAATAAGAAGACTCAAGGAGTTGGCTCTCAGCCCATTACCCCTGGAGAGTTCAGAGAGGAAATTACCATGGCACCAAGCCCTTGTTTCTTAGAACTACAGAATGGCAAAGCCACTCATTAAACAATTACACCGTTAAACAACAGAGCAATTGCATTATTTGGTTAAGAACTTGTATCTCTGCTTGGCTTTAGCAAAGGGTCATGCAGCACACGGAGGGAGATAGCTTTTAGGTCTCCTGTCTCTGAGGCTGTGTTACTTCGGTAGGTCTCTGACCTCCTCTGGGCCTTAATCTCCCCCTCTGTAAAATAAGGATTAGAGAAGAGTCGTCATTCTGGCACTAAGACAGCCACGTCTAAGGTTTCTGTACAGGAACAAGGGGCCTGCAAAGGGAGCGTGAACTCTTAACATACCCTCCAGACACCTCCCTGAAAGATCTCACACACCTGGAAGACTGGGTTACTCACCTGACTGATGAAGTCGGACGAGGCCTCATGTTCATCCCAAGTCTGGTTCCTCCCCCTGGCTTTCCCCATTCCGACGAGGGTATCATGTTCCTCCTCAGACCCCTTGTGTCTCTTTCTTATCCCTGCTCCCAGCTCATAGTCATCTGATGTCAGCAGAGACTTGCTGCTCAGCCTGAAACGCAGACGCACTACCGGTCAGCACCCTGGCCAGACAAGACTTGCGGGCTGGGGTCCACCCTCGTGGCCCTGAAGGGTTGGGCTCTGGACCCTGAAGTGTGGACAGTGATGACAGAGTGATGGGCGTGGGGAGATGGATCTTGTAAATTACAACAGTGCTGGAATTCTGGGATATTTGTGAATGAGGCAGAATGAGAGTTTAAGGTGAAAGAAGGAAAAAAGCATTTTCTTTCTTGTGTGCTTTCACGCGTACACTCACACACATCTCTGTGTGGTCAGATACCTATTGACCAAATCGTGCCAAGAACAAAGATCAGAAACGCCAACGAAATCCACCAGGATGGCAGGGGGAGTTTAGGACACAAGTTTACATGAAGGATTCCAGTCTGTCTTCTCCAGCAAGGAAAAAAAAACAAAAAAGGAGCCATTTGCTGGTCTCCGGAATCCCGTGCGCAGTGGCAATGGGGACACAGACATGGCTCAGAAGCCCCACTTGCTTGCTTTAAGCTGAAACTTCACAGGTGATCGAAACAGCCAATCTGTACTTGGCACTCACTCACTGTGTGTCTTGCACTGTTAGTGACATATATCTTGGCCACAAACGTTTGGTGCTGCTGTATTTTATTTTTTTTTATTTTTATTTTTTGGATGGAGTCTCACTCAGTTGCCCAGAATGCAGTGCAGTGGCTCAATTTCAGCTCACTGCAGCCTCTGCCTCCCAGGTTCAAGCAATTCTCCCACCTCAGCCTCC